CCATCCTTGTAATAAGGTTTTAGGACAAGTTTCTCAATTGTTACATTTACCTTCTGTCAATAATAAACTTGACTTTTGTAGTTCATGTCAGCTTGGCAAATCACACAGTTTGCCTTTTCCTATTTCAAATTTTTATGCTCGTGTGCTTTAGAATGGTTTATGCTGATGTGTGGGGTCCTGCTCCTGTATTATCTACTGAAGGTTTTCGATATTATGTGTGTTTTGTTGATGATCACACACGTTTCACTTGGATTTTTCCTTTGCATGCTAAATCCGATGCTGTGAGTGCTTTTCTGTTGTTCAAAGCACATGTTGAAAGCTTCTTTGATAAGAAGCTAAAGTGTTTGCCAACAGATTGGGGAGGAGAGTTTCGTACTCTAGAGCTAATTTTACAGAAACTTGGTATACTCATCCTCAAAATGGTCGAGTAGAGAGGAAGCATCGTCATATAGTAGAAATGGGTCTTACTATGCTTGTGCAAGCTGCCTTGCCTTTGAAATTTTGGTGGGATGCTTTTTCTACAGCTGTATTCTTGATCAATCGCCTACCAACAGCAGTACTGCATAATAAGAGTCCTTTTCAGCTTGTGTTCAATAAGCAAACCTGATTTTACTCTTCTTAAGGTCTTTGGCGTTGCTTGCTATCCTCACCTTAGACCATATAATAATCATAAGATGGATTTCAAGTCTTCCTTATGTGTTTTTTTTTTTTGGTTATAGTGAAAAACACAAAGGCTACAAATGTTTACACTCTTCTGGTTGTGTTTATGTGGCTCAAAATGTGGTGTTTGATGAAAGTTGTTTTCCATTTGTGACTGGTTTTCCATCACAGTCTAGCTCTTGTTCTAGTTCAGGTGCTGATTCTTCAGGTCTCAGTTTTTCTCTTCCCGTCTCTATGGCAAATCCTAGTAAGCACTCTGCTTCAGTTCCAGCTTCTGATGGTGTTGTTCATAGTACTTCTAGTTCTTCTCAATCTGTATCTTCTACTGATGCTAATGCTACTTCTAGTGCTGATGTTGATAATTCTAGTGCTACATTAGTTCCTGCTGTTCGTGAACCAGTTTCTTCGACTATAGAACTGTCAACGCCTCTCAATCGAACTCCACTTGTACCAGGTCTGCACAGGTCTTGTCCTCAATCTACTCATCAGATGGTCACTAGGTCTAAAATTGGTACTTTCAAGCCCAAATGTCTTCAAGTCAGTAAGTCAACTTCTCTTATTTCTGAACCTAATACTGCTCGTGAACCTTTAGCTGATTCTAATTGGAAAGCTGCGATGACTTCTGAATATGATGCTTTGATTAAAGATGGAACTTGGACACTTGTTTCCCCCTCTCCTGAAATGAATATTGTTGATAATATGTGGGTGTTTCGAGTAAAACAGAATCCAGATGGTTCGATTCAACGTTACAAGGCAAGACTTGTTGCCAAGGGGTTTCAACAAAATCCTGGGTTTGATTATTTTGAAACTTTTAGCCCTGTGGTTAAATCATCCACTATAAGAGTCATTCTTACTTTGGCAGTTTCTTCTGGTTGGGATGTACAGCAAGTGGATGTTAATAATGCATTCTTAAATGGTGATTTGAAAGAGACAGTAGTCATGAAGCAACCAGAGGGTTTTATTGATTCTACTAAGCCTACTTATATCTACAAGTTACAAAAGGCTCTTTATGGCCTTAAACAAGCTCCGAGAGCTTGGTTTGAAAAGCGTAAGAGAGCTCTTGTTCGGTGGGGTTTTACTAATTCTACTTCCGACAGCTATTTGTTCTATAAAAGGATGCTGGTGTTCTGCTTTATTTGCTTGTTTATGTAGATGATATTTTGGTTACCGGTAATTCAAGTGAGAAAGTATGTCAAGTGGTCAGTGATCTGCATAAAGCTTTTGCTCTCAAAATGCTCGGTTCCTTGAGCTATTTTCTTGGCCTTGAGGCATATAGAGATTCTAATGGCTTGTATTTGACTCAAAGTATGTTTTGGATTTGTTAACCAAAACTAACATGAAAGATGCCAAGAGTTGTCCAACTCCAATGGGGTCCAGTAAAAAGCTGTCCGCTACTGATGGTGAAGATTTTGATCACCCATCTCTGTATAGGAGTACTATTGGAGCTTTGCAATAACTGACCATGACTCGGCCAGATATCTCCTTTGCAATTAACAAGCTGACTCAGTCTTTACATAAGCCTACTGTGGAACATTGGAAGGCTTGCAAGAGAGTGCTTCGTTACTTGCAAGGAACTGTGGATTATGGAATTGCGTTTAGACCAGCATCTAGACTGAGTTTGGAGGGTTTTTCTGATGCTTACTGGGCTCGCTGTGTTGATGATCGAAGGTCTACTAGTGGCTATGCAATTTCTTTTGGAGGTAATCTTGTGGCTTGGCGTGCAAAGAAACAAAAGGCGGTGGCTCGGTCAAGTACAGAAATAGAATATAGACCATTAGCTTTGGCTGCTACAGAGATTTCTTGGCTCCAAACGCTTCTTTGTGAGCTGCATGTACAAATGGATTCTCCGTGCGCTGTACTTTGGTGTGACAACATTAGTGCAGGATCATTAGCATCTAATCCTGTTTTTCATTCTCGGATAAAGCATATTGAGATAGATGTCCATTTCATTAGAAAACGAATTGCAGCTAATGAAATAGATGTCAGATATGTTCCAACAGAAAAACAGGTTGCAGATGTGTTGACAAAGCTGTTGTATGAGTCTCGGTTTAGATTTCTTAGGGACAAACTCACTGTCACTCGATCCCAGTTTCGTTTGAGGGGAAGTATTGAGAGTCCTGGTTGTATTTGAGTCGTTATAGTTGTTAGCTTTGTAACAGTTTTGTAACAGATTCTGTTACGACACTTGGTTAGTCTTGAGTTAGTATAGCTGTAATTTTTTTCATATAAATATACATGATCTAGTGACTCGATCAGGTCCGTTCATTTCACCGATTCGAATTTAGAATTTGAGTTTTACTACAGTAAAAAACTATCAGAAACAGTCACATCTAACTTTTTAACTACAATAAAAAACTTTCACATAAAATCACATCTCAACTCGAATTAAAAACTCACATCAGCGAACTAAACGGGCCTAATTGATTTAGCATTTTTCACTGAAATTTCTCTCTCTCTCTCTCTCTCTCTACATTTCTCGTTGTTCAATTCACTTCTACACAGATCTCCTGTGTTGGTCCAATTGATTTCTTTGGCAACCATATTAGCGGATCTGAATTCACGTAGATTTAAATTTCTTGGTTTGCTCAAGACCCTGTTTTAATATTTCAAGATAAAGAAAATAGAGTTTGCCTTAGATTTCTTCGGATTTGTTTGCATAACTTCAGTTTTTATCTTTTTTCTTCCTACACCTGATGAAAAATTTTCAAAACAAACACAAACCTGAGGGGGGAAAAAACCCAAATCTACGTTGTCAGATATTCAGGCCAAGCATCTTCGTCTGATCGTCGTCGACAAGCCATTTCATACACTTGATCTGGAAAGGAAATAGAATAAGAACAATGCCTTCCTCTACCTCTTTAGAAAAATTCTGCAAAAAGGGAGCACCAAACTGTCATCAACGGCTTCCTTTATGATCTGAGATTACCACTTTTCGTTAGTGGGAAAGTCATTTCCTACAGCTACTTTTGAGGATTTTCTGTTCAATTATTATTATTATTATTTTTGGAATTTATATGTGATCGTTTTGTTTCTGTTAATTTTGCCAATAATAATGTGTATGTTGTTGGCTGGTGGTGGTCTAACAAAGCGATCATATTAAAGGTAAACACTCACAAGTCTTTGAAGAGAGAAACTTTTTGTCTTCTGAAAGGTTCTAAAATCGAAGTATACATGTACGAGGTTGTTCTACTATTGGGAAAAATACATATAAAATTCACGCCATGAACATGATGACGAATTTTACTCAAACAATTATATTCAACCATATTCAAAGTTTTTTCTGTTGCATTCACAAAGTATAGTTTAGAAAGTTTCGAATAGAGAGCATCTCAATACCTTGATACTCTCGAGTTATAATTCAACTTTTTTTTAACTTTTTTTTATGTTGCATTCACAAAGTATAGCTACCATATATTCAACAAAACCTATTTTCGTTCTAATATTACAACTGCAAGTTCTTTATTTTGCGGTCACAAGTATGGAAAAGTCAATTGAATTCTTTTACAAATGTATTGTCAAAAATTTAGTACGCTTCCCAGCTAGTACTACCATAGTATTTTTCACATCCACACTACATTTTTTTCCCCTTCTAAAGCTTTGAAAAGAGAATATTTGGTAGGTCAGAAACATATATTTTATCATTATTTAACAGTTACGAACTATTGGACTATCATTCAATTTGAATACAATATGATGTTTAGAAACATGCACTATCGAGAGATATCTTACCTATAAGTAGCATTATGAATTAATAAAAAGAAGATTTATGCGAGAGGTTCAAACAGATTCTCTAGTAGCAAATATGGCTTAACTGTAAGAATTTTCATTAGGTTCCACCGCACTTGTATATTGCTTGATTATGATGGTATTATCCTCATATATTCTAAAATGTGCATTACTAGTAGGTATTCCTAATTACTACATATAAGTTCCACGAAATATTAGAGAACCCGCAAAAAGTAGTTATCAATATCTAAAATGATTTTCCTTAAAAAAAAATATATATATCTAAGATGATTTCTTACCTGGGTTAAATTGTCGAAGCACAAAAATTATTCTATTATATGTGCGGAAATTCCAATGGCGGCCATGAGGCTATACTATTCTATCAAAGACCATCGAGATGTCTTTTAATTAATTAATTGATTAGTTGACTAATGTAAGACAATTTCCACCGAGCTAGCCGGAGTCAAACGTACGTTAGAAGAATTTATGTAATAGCCAAAAAAAAAAAAAAAAAAAAAAGTTTAAAGAATTACGGTTCATATTAAAAACTGATTAGGCTCATGTATAAATTGGGCTCACAATGTTTTGCCTTTTTTCTCACAAACACAAACGACTCGCATCATCATTAGAAGTTCTCTTTCTAATTAAGAGTTCCAGCCTACAGCTAACTAGCTGCATTCTCCCCGAGAACATGAAGGTACACCAAAAGAAAGAAAAAAAAAAAAAGATTATTTTTTTTTTTCAAATCTTTGTTTCTTTAGTTCTTCAAATCATATGTTTAACATTTAGCAAGGAGTGTAAGTTTATAAAGTGTTAACAATAATGGTGGTGTGCAGCAAAAGATAGTTGTGAAGGTGCACATAAGCTGTGAAAAATGCAGGACCAAAGCCATGAAGGTTGCCGCAGTCGAATCAGGTACTAGAATGTGGTGGTGCATCGGTTACGATACTTTTTCCTCCCTCTAAGACGGGACTTCACGTCCATACCTAGTCAATAGACTGTGCGGCTGTGAAACTCAGCCCAATTTTTGAGTAGAATTTCCATTCTATTTGTAGACTCTAGGATCTCTAATATAGAAAAACGGTACAAGAAATGGGGGCGTGATGTCACAAATGATTCCTTTTTTCTCGTTGGTAGACATACATACATATAATTGGTAGTGTATAATCTTGGTTTAAATTCAAATCATGAACTTACAAATTACTAATTTAACGATTGAATCATTGATGCAGGAGTGATCTCGGTTCAGATCAGCGGAGAAGGCAAAGATCAAGTGGTGGTTGTTGGTGATGAAATTGACTCTGTTAGCTTGACCAGATCTCTAAGGAAGAAAGTTGGACCTGCGACATTACTCAGTGTGGAAGAAGTCAAGGAACCAAAGAAAGAGGAACCCCCCGCTGCTAAAAATCAGTCCACATCACCATCACCCTCGTTATGTTATCCACAACCAGTATTTTGCCATCAAATCGTCCATGATCCAAATCCAGATTATTGTTTCATCATGTGAATTTCAATGGCTAGGACAATATGATGTACTTGTTTTGAATTTGTTTTAGAATTCTTTTTTTATCAAATCGCTAGTACTTCGATGCAGAACGATTGAATCATTGATGCAGGAGTGATCTCGGTTCAGATCAGCGGAGAAGGCAAAGATCAAGTGGTGGTTGTTGGTGATGAAATTGACTCTGTTAGCTTGACCAGATCTCTAAGGAAGAAAGTTGGACCTGCGACATTACTCAGTGTGGAAGAAGTCAAGGAACCAAAGAAAGAGGAACCCCCCGCTGCTAAAAATCAGTCCACATCACCATCACCCTCGTTATGTTATCCACAACCAGTATTTTGCCATCAAATCGTCCATGATCCAAATCCAGATTATTGTTTCATCATGTGAATTTCAATGGCTAGGACAATATGATGTACTTGTTTTGAATTTGTTTTAGAATTCTTTTTTTATCAAATCGCTAGTACTTCGATGCAGAAATCCGATTAAATTATTCTTCGGTCTAATATAAGCTTTACCATTTTTCTCAACAACCATCATCATGCATGTTGCGCCACGGTCGAGCAATCGACCGCTCCTTTGACTGCCAAGCGCCGAGACGTTCTTAGTCGAGAGTTGGTTGCTGACGTCAAGGAAATGGTCGTACGTAGGATGCCCTCAAGGCGACGGGAGTTTACGCAGGAGGAGGATATGCGTCGAGAACTCCTCCTAAGCCGTGAAGTTCACGACGTCGAGAGATCAACCTTGTCAAATCAAAATCAAAACAAGATGGACCTATGTGGGTCCCATTAGGTAGGAAATCACCTAGCAGTCTTTTTCTAACACAGAAAAGAAAAGCCCAGTCTTTAAGGCATGAATGTGGACACAGAATATAGAATATAGTCTATAGGCCCAAAGAATGTTGTTTGGAAAAGAAAAATCTACCACCTAGTTGGAATGCATGTATGACGCGTACAAACACTTGTGGGCCATATTTGTGATGACTATGAAGCACCTAGAAATCCAAGATGGCTGGGGCCAAGGCAGAGTGTCCGAATTCAGTTATGAGACGCGTCATTGAGAAGTATATACTCGTTTAAAAGTTAATTGATATGTGAAGATACGATGAATACATATCATTAAGGAATATTATACGGCCTTCTTGGGTGGAAAGATGATGGAATCTGATATTAACGTTAACTGTTAAATTATGCATGCAGTCACTATTATAGAAGCTTTTGAAGGTAGTGTATATTTATTACTTGTAGCAGATGTTTCACAACTCAACTTAGGTAAGAGAAAGACACTGTAGTAAAAAAAAAATTTGTGAGAAAAACCACTGTAGTAATAAAATTTGAGTTGTGAAAAAAATAAATGTTAAGAGTTAGATCTAGTCAAAATCAAGTCAAAACATAGAAGGAAAAAAAGTTCAAAATTGAGATAATCTGATATTGATATACTGATTCAAGAACAAGCGTATATCCTATGCCCAACCCAACTGTAGAATTCTCATGTGTATGTTGTTGGCTGGTGGTCTAACAAAGCGATCATATTAAAGGTAAACACTCACAAGTCTTTGAAGAGAGAAACTTTTTGTCTTCTGAAAGGTTCTAAAATCGAAGTATACATGTACGAGGTTGTTCTACTATTGGGAAAAATACATATAAAATTCACGCCATGAACATGATGACGAATTTTACTCAAACAATTATATTCAACCATATTCAAAGTTTTTTCTGTTGCATTCACAAAGTATAGTTTAGAAAGTTTCGAATAGAGAGCATCTCAATACCTTGATATTCTCGAGTTATATTCAACTATATTTAAACTTTTTTTTATGTTGCATTCACAAAGTATAGCTACCATATATTCAACAAAACCTATTTTCGTTTTTATATTACAACTGCAAGTTCTTTATTTTGCGTTCACAAGTATGGAAAAGTCAACTGAATTCTTTTACAAATGTAACGTCAAAAATTTAGTACGCTTCCCAGCTAGTACTACCATAGTATTTTTCACATCCACACTACATTTTTTCCCCTTCTAAAGCTTTGAAAAGAGAATATTTGGTAGGTCAGAAACATATATTTTATCATTATTTAACAGTTACGAACTATTGGACTATCATTCAATTTGAATACAATATGATGTTTAGAAACATGCACTATCGAGAGATATCTTACCTATAAGTAGCATTATGAATTAATAAAAAGAAGATTTATGCGAGAGGTTCAAACAGATTCTCTAGTAGCAAATATGGCTTAACTGTAAGAATTTTCATTAGGTTCCACCGCACTTGTATATTGCTTGATTATGATGGTATTATCCTCATATATTCTAAAATGTGCATTACAATATATATATATATATATATATCTAAGATAAAATATATATCTACGATGATTTCTTACCTGGGTTAAATTGTCGAAGCACAAAAATTATTCTATTATATGTGCGGAAATTCCAATGGCGGCCATGAGGCTATACTATTCTATCAAAGACCATCTAGATGTCTTTTAATTAATTAATTGATTACTTGACTAATGTAAGACAATTTCCACCGAGCTAGCTGGAGTCAAACGTACGTACCTTAATTAGTTAGAAGAATTTATGTAATAGCCAAAAAAAAAAAAATGTTTAAAGAATTAAGGTTCAGATTAAAAACTGATTAGGCTCATGTATAAATTGGGCTCACTATGTTTTGCCTTTTTCTCAACAACCATTTGCGCCACGGTCGAGCAATCGACCGCTCTTTTGACTGTCAAGCGCCGAGACGTTCTTAGTCGAGAGTTGGTTGCTGATGTCGAGGAAATGGTCGTACGTAGGATGCCCTCAAGGCGACGAGAGTTCACACAGGAGGAGGATATGCGTCGAGAACTCCGCCTAAGCTGTGAAGTTCACGACGTCGAGTGATCAGCCCGGTCAAATCAAAATTAAATCCCGCCATCTCAGGAAAAGATAAACTACAACAACTGTCACGATCCGAATCGCGAAATCAAATCACCGATAAAGGTGATTGCCTCGATTTAGTCGTTGAAATCGTGGAGGTACAACTGTCAGATCCTGAGATTTAGGGATAAGGAGATGATCTCCTCGGGAAGTGGAGATGAGGTCTCTGATCTGTAAAAGGTCTATAAATAGAGCCTGCCTCCTCCATTAAGTTTTTTATGCACTATTTTACTACAAGAAAGATTGTAATCAATAATATACTAGTGCGTCCACAAGTGGACATAGGCAAAGAATTCTTGCCAAACCACTATAAACTTCTGTGTTCTTTATTTTTCTGCAAGGATTTTTCTTGATTAATCCGTGAGAGATGTCTGCGAGTGCTCCCGGAGAGAGTTATTTTTTAGTTGACTAAATTTCACCGTCAACAATTGGCGCTAGAATGAGGGCTTGAACCTCCGACTTCGCATCCAGTAAAAGCAGTGAACATGCCTCCAAGAGGGACTCGCAGCATGATGGATAATTAGAAAAGCTAGGAAGGCCAGAATCCTACCATTGAAGGGAGGAATCTGACGAATCCACCTAACGGCAACCAGGAACCGGTGAGAGTACAGCCCAATAGCAGGGTGAATCCACCGGCCGCTGGAAACCCCCCAGATCGCCTTGACCTGCTTCAAAAATAGGTCGAAACACTCGCTGTGGCCGTAGAAAGAATTGCTACAGCCCTCGCTGAATGGGATCAAAGGCCAAATTCAATGCCGTCACTGGAGGATGCGCCGATGAACCCAGTGAATGCTACCGTCAGGAACTAAGTGATTGGTGACCAACGCGGTGACGCTGAGGAGGTCGGTGACAGTGGGGCCAACAATAACCCTCGTCCAGCCAAGTCAAATAGGTCTGTAGGGAGCAGACAACGGGCAACCAAAAAAAGAGCCCAGGAGAGGGCTGCGGCCGAAATAGTGAATAACAGAGAGGTGCCCCCTCGACCACAGGAAAACAGAAACCGGAAAAATGTTATGCCGCTAGAATCTTCATCCGTACGCAGTGGGAACCTAAGAGAGTAGCTAAGTGCTCGACGTAATCAAGATACGCAACGGACGAAAGAGGAAGAGCTCGTGCCCGAGAATAAGGTTCTGGCTGAGAAGATAGTTAGATTAGAAAAGCATATAGGGAGTTGACTAAACAACTTTCAGCAAGTTATTTGAAAGGTAGCCGAGGCTGTAAACGTCGACGCCAAGATATACACGTCTCACGACCACCCATTCACAAAGAACATCATTCAGGTCCCGCTGCCCAATAAGTATAAGCCACCCCCCATTCCGCTATACAATGGAAGGAATGATCCGGGTGACCACCTAGAAGTCTACACAGGGCACATTGTCCTTCATGGGTACCCCGAGGAGGTCATGTGTCGGGCGTTCAGAAACCATCTTTCTGACTTCGCAAGAAGGTGGTTCAGATCCCTGAAACCAAATTCCATTACTAGCAGGGATGACTTGAAGAACGCCTTTCTAACTCAATTCATAGGTGTCAAAAAGTACATCCCACCCAAATAAAACCTTTCGAGGGTTTACCAGGGTCTAAATGAGTCCCTGAAAGATTAGTATGACCTACGAGGTGGCTTTGATGGGGGCCCTATCGAGCATGAAGAAGGACATCCCATACAACACAGACCTTGACCGGAAGCCGCCACAGACCTATCAAGAATTCATGACAAGAGCACAGGGGTTCATTAATGTAGAGGAGGCCAAAAAGGACTTGAAAAGCAAGATGGTGGTCCCCGCAAAAGAGGAAGCCGGGCAGCCATGTAGCCAGAACAACGGTAAGAAGCGCTGAGGTAATCCTCATGTGCAGGCGAAGCAAAGGTATAATCCAGCCCCGAACAACATGAGCAACAACGCCTCGACAGGCTAGGGGGATACCAAGCGGTTCAAGCCGCAGAAATACAACGCCTACACCCCGTTAACCATGGGGATTGAGGATGTTTATCATGAGATAAGTCACCTCCAGGTACTGCGTCGGCCACCACCGCTCAAATCTGACCCGGCGCGAAGAAATCAGAGCAAGTATTACAAATTTCACGGTGAGAGTGGACATACGACTGTCGGATGCTTTGATCTAAAGGACAAGGTTGAAAGATTGATCCGTGAGGGGAGGCTCAATGAATACAGGGCTGACCGACGGAGCAACAACAATCGGCGAAACAACAACCGACGGGAAGATCAAAGACAAGATAATCCACCTGAACCTGTCGGTGTGATAAGAACAATCTTTGGAGGGCCATATATCGGCGGTACTTCTCACCGCTCACAAAAGGAGTACGCTAGAGAATCGAAGGAAAAATTTAACCGGAGAGTCATGAGTGTGTCCGGTCAAGAGGTCAAGGCCGCGAGATATGAAGAGGCTGAAATAACGTTTTTAGAGGCAGACGCTAATGATGTGCATTTCCCCCAGAATGACGCTCTCGTTGTTGATGCCATGATTGGTAACCACACGGTTTGCCGCATCCTAGTTGACAACGGTAGTTTGGTAGACATTCTGTGCGTCGATTACCTAGAAAAGATAGGGGATTCCCCGAACGAGGTTGCAAAGTAATACACAACCCTTGTACGGCTTCATTGGGGATTGTGTCATCCCTGAGGGGATAATAAAACTACCGGTGACGATTGGTGACCGACCACACACCTCGACCGTCATGTCAAAATTTTTAGTTGTGAATGGAGGTGACCAGTACAATGTAGTCATCGGACGACCGACATTGAAAGCTCTAAAAACCATAACGTCAATCTGCCATCAGATGAAGTTCCCAACTCCTAACGAGATTGGAAAAGTAAGAGGAAATCAGTATGAGTCTAGGCTTACGTATTTTGAGATAGTTTGCCATTACGCTGAGTCAAGACAGGCGAGGAGGGAGATGAGGATGGTGGCGATCGGGACAGAGGAATTCGATCTAGATCCAATGCTCCCAGGTGAAGATACAAGGACATGACCGGTCGAGGAATTGATCGAGGTCTCCATAGATGAGAAGGAGCCGATAAGAAAACTGAAGATAGGCTCAGAACTTGAAGAACGGAGCCAGAAAGGACTGGTAAGATTCCTCAACAGCAACCTCGATGTGTTTGCTTGGACTCATGATGACATGGAGGGGATAAGCTCAGACATAATAAGCCACATGCTTAACATAGATGAGAAGTATCCCCCCAAGAGGCAAAAACGTCGATGAATGAATGCTGAGAGGTATGAAGCTCTACGGGAGGAGGTTGACAAATTGATAAAAAATAACTTCATACTGGACGTCATGTATCCCAAGTGGATTTCCAATCTTGTGCTGGTATTAAAGCCCAACAGAAAGTGGCGGACATGCGTCAATTTTAGCGACCTGAATAAAGCATGTCCCTAAGGACAGCTTTCCACTCCTAAGGATAGATCAGCTGGTCGATGCCACAACGGGGCACGAGCTCTTAAGCTTCATGGATGCATATTCTGGCTACAACGAGATACCAATGTTTCACCGCGATGAGGAGCACACAACGTTCATCACTAACAGAGACATGTATTGCTACAAGGTCGTGCCCTTTGGCCTCAAGAATATAGGAGCAACCTACCAGCGTCTAGTCAACAGGATGTTTACAGATCAGATAGTAAAAATGATGGAGGTATATGTCGACGATATGTTGGTAAAAATTAAAAAGTCTAAGGACCATGTGGGGCACCTCAAGAGGATGTTTGACGTCCTAATGATGTACAAAATGAAGCTGAACCCCCTCAAATGCTCATTTGGGGTCAAATCGGGGAAATTCTTAATTTTTATGGTGAGCAGTCGAGGAATTTAGGCTAACCCGGAGAAGATATAGGCACTTCTCGATATGAAATCACCAAGAAAACCAAAAGAGGTCCAAAAGCTGACAGGTTGTATAGCTATGCTCAACAGATTTATCTCAAAATCCACAGATAAGTGCACACCTTTCATTGATACCCTGAGAGGAAGCAAGCCATTCCAATGGACAGAGGAATGCAAACACGCGTCCCAAAAATTGAAAGAACATCTTGGAAAACCACCCTACTGTCCAAACTTATGGTCGGGGAGGTGATAAGCCTATATCTAGTGGTTTCAGAACACGCCGTTAGTTCGGTGTTGGTCCGCGAAGAGAAGAAGGTGCAACTGTCGGTGTACTACACTAGAAAGCGCCTCCTCGACGCATAGATAAGATATCCGCTTATGGAAAAGCTCACCCTTACGTTAGTAGTGACATCAAGAAAGCTGCGTCACTATTTCCAGGCCCATACCATATATGTCTTGACAAACCATCCTCTCAGGTAAGTATTGTAAAAGCCCGACGCTTCGGGAATACTCTTTAAATGATCCATAGAGCTCAGCCAATTCGACATTGACAACAAGCCGCAGGTTGCCATTAAGGGTCAAGCCTTGGCTGACTTTGTGGCTGAATTCACAGGACTGCCATATGAAGAAGAAGTCATCAACAGACCACCCAGGTAGAAACTCTACATTGACAGAAGCTCCAATGATAATGGCAGTGAAGTAGGATTGGTGTTGCATACCCCAGAGGGCTATAAAATAACATCGGCTATCATATTGAAATTTTCTACGTCCAATAATGAAGCAGAGTATGAAGCACTATTGGCTAGACTCTGATTGACAGAACACCTGAAAGTGGAAGCCATAGACATTTTCAACGATTCGCAACTGGTTGTAAATCAAGTAAAAGACCAATATCAAACCAGAGATGAAAAATGACAGCCTACCTTAAGAAGGTCAAGAAGGCCTTGGAAAAGTTCACAGCCTATGACATACAACAAGTGCCAAGGATAGAAAATAGCAATGCTGACGCCCTTGCCAGGCTAGCCATCTCAAAGGATGTCAAGATGTTAAAACTAGTACCCATAGAAGTTTTAAAAGCCCTGCCATCGAGGGAAAACCCAAAGTTATGCCAATAAGCCGTCAACCGAGCTGGAAAGATCATATTATCAAGTACTTAGTCGACGGTGAACTTTCAGAGGACAGATAGCAAGCAAAAAAGTTAAGATATCAAGCGTCGAGGTACACTATACACGACAATATCCTTTATCGAAGAGGATACTCGACGCCCTTGCTCAGGTGCCTTGATGAAGAAGAAGTGAGAAATGTGCTTTCAGAGATACATGCCGGGATACGCAGAAACCACACAAGGGAGCAGTCCTTAGCCTATAAAATCCAATGGCAGGGTTACTACTGGCCCGATCTAAAAAAGGATGCAGCTGAGTATGCCAAGAAATGTGAAAGCTGCTAAAGGTACGCCCACATCTCCTGACTGCATTCAAAGGACCTAATGTCGATAGTTTCTCCTTGGCCTTTTACCAAATGAGGGATTGATATGATTGGCCTATTACATAGAACTCCTAGGGGGTATAATTTTACCATTTTAGCAGTCGAATACTTTACGAAGTGGGTTGAAGCTGAGCCACTGACGACTATATCAGAGGAAAAGTGTACAAACTTCATATGGAACAACATAGTTTGCCAATTTGGTGTACCACATTTTCTCGTGTCAAATAACGGGAGACAGTTCAATAATGACAACACCAACCAGTTCTGCGAATGCACAAGAACTTTTCCACTGTCATATACCTTCAGTCCAACGGACAGGTCAAGGCGGTCAATAAGATCATAAAGGTTACGCTAAAATGACGGCTCGATAGTTATAAAGGAAAATGGGCCGATGAGTTGTCAAATGTCTTATGGGCGTATAGGACGACTAGTAGAACTACCACAGGGGAAACTCCTTTCTATATGGCCTACGAGATTAAAGCGGTCATTCCGATCGAGATATCCATTCCTACCAGCCGAGTGACACGGTATGAAGAGGATAAGAACACCGAGCGAATGGGCTTAGAGCTCGACCTATTGGAAGAAAGGCGTACAGGCGCGCAATTAAGACTCGCCGTGTATCATGCCAAGATTGCTTGATATTACAACCAGAAGGTCAAGCAAAAGTGATTTAGAGTAGGAGATCTTGTCATGCGAGTAGTGACCCCAAACACTAAGTTGGAGAACTCTGGTGCCTAAGGACCAACTTGGGAAAGTCCTTACAGAATAAAGAAGGTCGTAACCAATGAGTCTTATCGACTCACAGAACCAAACGGTCGAGACATCAAGCACACATGGAATGCATACCAACTGAAGACCTACTACCAATAAAGGGGAGAAAGGTCGACCTAAAAGCTAGATTTAGTATTTTTCTTATGTTCTGTTTTCCTTTTTGCTTTTTTACAAGCTGAAAATTTGACTTGTAAATTCTACAGAAATATGAGACCGATTCAATTCTCTACTCATTTGATTTGTGTAAAATAATACATTACCAATTATTACATCGCGCTCGACTTGATTCTACATATTGAAAGATCTATGAATCTGTTCACATGATTATCTACGTCGACCAATGTTGCGTCAAAGACAAGCAAGAAGGCTACAGCCACCCCAAAGTCTACAAAGGTGATAAGCCCTAGCTTAACCATACTAATATATATATATATACACATGACATATCTACAACATTCTTGCGCAAAATAGGGCATATATATATATAAGAAAAAATATATCCCGGCCTTATGGTCGTTACAAAATGGAAAATTCAAATATTTCGGCCTTACGACCTTTCAAAAAAAAGAGAAATGCTCTCAAAACATCACCCTATCTCCCGGTGCTTGCTCCATTACATAGAACCCCTGGGGGTATAAATTCACCGTTGTAGCAGTCGACTACTTTACGAAGTGGGTTGAAGCTGAGCCACTGACGACTATATCAGAGGAAAAGTGTACAAACTTCATATGGAACAACATAGTCTACCGATTTCGGGTACCACATTCTCTCGTGTCAGATAACGGGAGACAGTTCATTAATGACAACACCAACCAGTTCTGCGCATTATTGAGAATTCACAAGAATTTTTCCTTTATCATATACCCTCAATCTAACAGACATGTCGAGGCGGTCAATAAGATCATAAAGGTTACGTTGAAGCGACGACTCTATAATTATAAAAGAAAATGGGCCGATGAGTTGCCAAAGGTCTTATGGGCGTACAGGACGACCAATAGAACTACCACAGGGGAAACTCTTTTCTCAATGGCCTACGGGATTGATGTGATCCTTCATGTCGAGATATCCGTTCCTACCAGCCGAGTGACACGGTATGAAGAGGATAAGAACACCGAACGAATGGGCTTAGAGCTTGACTTATTGGAAGAAAGGTGAACAGACGCGTAGTTAAGACTCGCCGCGTATCACGCCGGACTGCTAGATATTACAACCAGAAGGTTAAGCAAAAATGATTCAGAGTAGGAGATGGCGCCCTAGGACCAACTTAGGAAGGTCCTTACAGAATAAATGAGGTCATAGCCAATGGGTCATATCGACTCACAGAACTAAACGGTCGAGACATCAAGCACACATGGAATGCAGACCAACTGATGACCTATTACCAATAAAGGGAGAAAGGTAGACCTAAAAGCTAGATTTAGTATTTTTCTTATGTTATGTTTTCCTTTTTACTTTTTTGCAGGCTGAAAAGTCGACTTGTAAATTCTACATAAATATG